CGGGGATTGGCGGACGTGACGAGGAAGTACGCCACTCATCCGTTTGTACTGTCTGGTGACAGTTGGGACAAACTGATCCACGACTATCCTGTCTGTATGGCTACTCAAACATCCGTGAGTCAACATGCCGTAGCACAATTTCCTTACGATAGTGACACTCTGAATAGTCTAAAAAGCAGTGTCCCCCCAACCTTTTTGAGCCCGCGGAATGGCAAATCTGTTCAAAATTTTTCAAAAACTAGCAAATTCCCAAAAAAAATTCTGCGGACCTGCAAAGTTGCATAGAATTTTTGCAGACTGAAAAAAGTTTGGCTCGAAAGTCAGTATGACAGGTATTAAAATTTTTTTTTGGAATAAATATGCTGAGAACCAATAAAGCAGCTATACCGGAATGTTTTCAGAAAATTAGAAAGCTGGGCTTGAAGAAATTTTTTATGAGAATGAAAATTTAATATACAGAAATTAATTTCAGCAGATGAAAATTTGTCTGAAGCATTATTTGAAGAGAAGCCAAGTTTTGTTTTTCATTAGATAAAGTAATTTCAACTGCCTTTGTCTTTCCAAAATTTCAGACAAAGATTTCATTGCTACTTTTGATAAATTTATTATGGTGAAAAAAAGATGTCTTGTGGACCAGCAAAAAACGTCTGCAGACTTGGCTGTACTTGATGAAAAGGTGAACCATTTGCTTTCAAGTCTGGTCACATCCTGGGCGTTTTGTATCAGGAAAAATGCAATTCAGTAATTTATAATTTTCCAGCTATTATAATATCTATCATCCAATGGTTAGAGAGGTAGTAGATATTTTAATATACATGTGAGCCTCAATAGCTTGAAGGCTCTTCAAGTCAAATACTAATGTTGATACCAAGTTGATTTTTTTCCAAGTCCCAGTCAGAATTCCCTTAGAAACAATGCATCAAAAACCTCTCTAACTGGAATGCTTTTCCTCTCAAACCTCCATAACTCAAATTTTTAGAGGCAGTTTTTCTATTATTTTCTTGACACTGGGAAGAAAAAGCAATGTAAAGTAACCATGTGTGTTTTGAAAGGAAGTTAATGACTACAAAGGGTCCTAGGTAAATGAACAATTGCCTTCAAGTTCAGCATCCCTTCAATTTATTTAGAAAGTCATTTAAGGCCTAGAGTATTGCCATTTACAGTTTTCTGCAGTACTTCCGTGTTTTGCACAACAAAAATACCTGTTATTTCACTAACTTAATGAAACATTAATAACTCAAACCCTTCCCAAGTCAAAACTTCCCTATGTCGATTTTTTGCTGGTCTCTTGAAATTCGACTTGGAGAGGTTGGACGTTTGTACCTTCGTCTGAAGTCAGAAGATCCGATCTAGAAGACACTTCTGAGGCTGAAAAATAAAAAAATCCACTGAGTTCTTAAAAAAACAAATTTTCGATGTCTTTCGGTGAAGGCTATCGCTCAGTATTTGAAAGTCAAGAATGTTCTTGATGAAGTAGCGCTTCGTCAAGAGAATTCCGGGGAAAGAAGAGGAAATGGGCATTCTTACTGATGGTTGGGATGATGACTTGTGGTTTCTTTGATTCGCTAGCAAGTCCTTGAAGAAAATTGAAGCTTATTTGAGCCGACCAGTACTCAAAGCTCTCGTCTCAGTTTTTACTTGAGCGTGAGTGACTCAATGTTTCATTGCATTTAAAGGTCAAGACCATCGAAAGTATCCTGTTTCTCGGTATTTACGGCATCTTCTTCCATTAAATTACAGTCGCGATTCAAGCCGACGCTGATTCAATTCTGAATAAAACAAAGTTGCAGTGATATTGAGTTTCCCAGGAAAAAAAACAGAAGATTATGAACTCTAAATCAACAATATCCCACTTTAAAGTAATAATTAGATGGGCTTAAGCTCATAAAGAGACTAATGTTACTTGTTTCCATGACTATAGCAGCATTGTGATGACCTCGATAATCAATTATCATTATTTGTTCCATCTCCAAACTTTGCCGAGAAAATCGAATCTTTGCATTGTATTTTTGTTCAGCATATTTTAAGAACCACAATGGCCAGTAAAAAAAATTATTTTTATAAGAAGTCCACTCGGTCTCTGGAAGGTACCCCGACATTTACACCGCGGTATTTTCATTAAAAAAAAAGAATTCGAGAAGTTTTGATTTGATTTAAATCTGAACCTCCCTCGCGGGAAAAAAGCGTTCATCAGTCTCAATCTATCTTAGCATCAGCTTCCACTTGTATCATCTATTTACATTATACAGGAATATCTACCGTGATATACAGTATTTTACGAGTAGAATTGGGCTTAGGAAAGTTCAATCCAGCGAGCAATGCATCGCGGAACAGAATGACGGACTGTTGCTCGCAGGATTATAATCGATGTATTTATCTAGGTAAATATGATTCATTATTGGCAAATCTAAAAATATTACATGAATTGGAATCCGCATAAGGAGGAGAATGGATGAAGACCCTAGGAAACTTTTTTTTAACGAGTTGAAGTTTAAGGGATTTTTTTGAATAACTTTTTAATCGGCTTGGACTGAAGTACTCATATACCCATGATAAATAAATTATAACTTTATCGCGTAGTAAACATTTTTGAATTACTTCTCTTTCATCATAATGTCAAGGGACTGTCTCATGAATATTCAAGATGTTTTTTTTTTATTTTCCAGCAGATGTATCAGAATACTGTATTCCTATAATTCTACAGTAACGGTCGCAAATTTTGAAAGATACTGAACAGACTCTCTCCTACTTCCTCGCTTAGCATGGTAATCTTTAGAACACAAATTATAATAGAGCATGACCAAGTTTTTTTTCAATTAAAAATCCACGTTGACTTTTAGAAGTACTGTACCTCAAAAACATTCGAATGAGTCGAATGTGAGAACAAATTTACTTTACCGGGGCCATCAGATGTATCAGTTATACAGTACAGTATGTTGTTACATCACTACTCCCAACCAATTGTATCTCTCAAGTAATAACAGCGTGTTTATTTACACGTAGAAAAGTTCAACTTGAAAGATAATATATGTTTGAATACATTATATTCTACTGTAGATGATTTGTATTCAAAATATTGCCTTGACAACGATTTCTTCTTATGAGAAAGTATCATGACAATTCAAGCATGTGTTTTTTTTTTTAGGTTGACCGGATGTACTGGGTCGCAAACGTTTCGGAAAGCTGGCATGGACCTTTATCCGTCAGCATTTTCGTCCCGGACGTGGAGCTACACCTAGCAAAAACCGTGATAAAATTCCTGCGTCGTTGTTCGCCTGCCGTCGCAGATCGTGTTAGCTTTCATTTTGTGTCGGATGTGGCTCATCCACCGGTGGACTTTTCGGCGGAAGCGGATGACGTCGACTTGGACTGCAACTCCATCCACGAGTCGATAACGAAGTTTGTTGATGCTGGAAGGTCAGAAGAAATGATGAAGTGGAGAGACTCGATGATCTACCCCCAGCAATTACTACGAAACGTTGCCCGACAAGGTTGCTTAGCAGAATACGTCACGCTCGTAGACGTTGATATGATCCCGAGACCGGGTTTGGCGGAAGATTTGCGTTCCTTTTTGAGGAAGAAGGAGACACAGAGCTGCGAAAAATGCGCTTATGTTTTGCCGGTGTATGAAATCGCCGAAACCGCTGGGAAGCTTCCGGAAAACAAGGCTGACCTCGTGAAGATGATCACTGCAAAACGTGCTCGTCCATTCCACCAGGTTAGTTTTTGTCGACGACTCCTTGAAAAATCTATATTTATGAATCGAAATCAAGGAAACCTTGAATCTCCACAATACAATTACGCTTCAGTTTCATTCACTCATTCGGAAAATACTGCAAAATTCTGCAAATGGATTCCGACGGATGAACCGAATCCACTGTGCAAATGTTGTGTGAGGCTGATACCTTCCTTAGGAATATGAGAAAAGCATTATGTTGCCGAATCAAAATTGGCTACCCATATACCGTACATGTAGAAGGATTCAGAAATTTTCCGGAAGATTGCATTTATTTTATAATACTGTACCTGCTCCTCAATGAAATCATTCTGCCACTTTTGTAAAAGCAAATCACTGTGCCGCAGGGACTATAAATATCCGAAAGATATTGACCAAAAGATTTTTATGCATCTTACTTATTATTATAAGATCTGGCACCTGTACGATTTTTATGCTCAGTGAATTGAAAAATTGGATGCTTGAAAATTTGTCAGGAAACATAAAATTACCGATGCATCAGTGAGCAGATTCTGGGACGGTGAATAAATGTGTGTATAGATAAAAATTTCGCAATAAAAAACTTCTATTGNCTTGACTTTAACATCTTTTCGATCGTAGAGATGATCTTTTCCTTCTTTAGTTACCAGTCGACCTTAAACGTTCCTCAGAAAAAAATATGAGTCGTTTAAAAAAATTGAATAGCTCTCTTGACCTTTCGAAAAAGGCATTTCTTTTTATTTGCGAATTTATCTTTCTTTAGCTTAAGGAGAGGTAATTTCTGGAGTCTCTTCACATTCGAGAATCTCTTGAGAAGCACATGTGTTTCTTGGGTGTGGTGATGTCTAGCTAAATGAGCGCATTGATCTTACGCTGAAAAAGTTGCAATCACGATTTTATTTCTGCAATAAAAAAGATTACGAATGCACTTCTTGAACATTGACGTAAAAGTTTCCAGCAACGTACGTTTACAGTGAAAAACGATCCCATTTCATGAAAAAATAATGTTCAGCATGTCCTACTTTCAATGACAGTATAAACAAAATGCCATCCTTTGAGCCGATCAGAGCATAATAAGAATGAAAGTGGATCGTGTTTGAATAAAAGAAATTAAGACATACCTGTATATTATTTTAGTCGTCGTAAAAACTTCGAAAACAATCGGAAAGAACACTAGAATATAACGAGTTATTTACTGCTACTTATCGTAAAACTTTTACTTTAAGAAACGTATTTAAGCTGAATTATTTTTAAATATTTATGCAATTCACGGTGACATACTTCAGTTGGGACGGGTAGCACAAATATAAAAGAAAGTAAATAATTTGAACAATGCTTTTCAATTTCGCAAGTTAATCTGCACCACTTTAAGATTAAATTTTTTGCGGAAATCAGATACCCTCTGAATCTGCGACGTTCGATGCCTAGACTTGATCGTTAAAAAAACATTACCTGGCTTCTTTGCGAATAATTTCGTAATATCAATAGTATTTGTACTGCCCTTCTTGAAAGGCGAAACCCTTGGATTTTTCCAATACTGCAATGGTTCAGTTCCGTAGATTTTCCCAATACTGCAATGGTTCAGTTTCGTAACCAAAAATGAAAATTTGGTACTGAACAGAATGTCGAAGCAACTTTGAAATTTTCACAACGGGATTTTACGAGTTACTCAGTTTAAAATCCTGGAATAGAGAAAATTCACGTTTAAAAATCTGAATCATGCACCGGGTGTAAGAAAAAAAAATCAAGACCTCCACTTTTGGTTTCATGTTTTAGAATTTCAGGTTTCTGATCATTATGCTTGCCGGTATTTTCTATCTTACTCATACATTTTTTTCTGTCCCTGAATGCAGTATGTTTTGATTTTTTTACGTGTCAAAAGAACCCTTTCTACATTGAAACGAGTTTGATAGCTTGGGGAAAACGTCGACCTCTCTCAAATCGGATGGTATTTTGAATATAATTACAGGCTTATGAGATGCTGGTCCTGGGTTTCCAGTTCAAGGTGCTCGACAACGCCTTTTTGAGTCACTGGGGATTCCAGGTGCTCAAAACGCGTCCCAAGTGGCGAGCTAAGCAGCAAGAAGCCAACAACCGCCGCCTGGATCAATATTCCCAAGAATTCGTCGCCAAGTACCATAGAGACCCATTGAACCTCCAGGGGTATTCTAAGAAAGCTGCCAAATTTGTCATCGCTTATGGTCATTGATAAAGAGCCCCCTTCCCTCTTCAACCCCCACCACGAGAGAAGAGCCTTGCGAAAATGTTTTAGGAATTTTTTTCCGAAACCCTGTTGAACACGAGAAATCAGTGGATCGGCTGAGTGAGATTATTTTTCAAGAGGGACCATGAAAACGTTTTGAAATTCCTCCAACCGAAACTCGGCCTTTTTTTTTTTTTTTTAATATCGGCGTATGCCGAGATAATTCTTTTCTCTCCCCTTATGTTGGAATGACGAATTTTTTCCTACTATGACGCATAAATCAAATTTTTTCTTGAGTATTATGAAGTCTGTGCATGATATGCATGGCCTCAGGGATTCTTAAAGACATCAGCATTTGGAATACCCTACTTATCTTAATTTTTGTTCATTTGAAACACGTTATTGACTCGGCAACAAGTAACTTGAAAGGCTCGAATCATTTTGAGCCGAATTTTGTGGGAATTCCGAAAACTTTCTACGCATACCACCCATTTAGTAGTAAGACCACTACGTTCCCACAGAAAAACGCCCACCGGGAATTTTATATCGCATTTCCGCCGAGGAAATGAATAAGTGGCATATCGTTGATGGACTTTGTGATACGTCGATGTCGATGCTAATCCTGTTGGCTGCTTATATTCACCATTGACAGTATCTTTGGTTGTACTGCTTTTTTTTTTCGTACGTGCGCTCTTATATGTTTATTATTATTTTCTTTCAGAGATGGAATGTTCAGAGTTGTTGATGAATTTTTTTTTTCATTCTTGTTGAAATTTCCCTGAATGAACTGTGCGCTATGATGTGTGTTTCTGAAATTCAGCCTGCTTGTTGAAAATGCAGCCACGGGATTTTCTGAGAAAGTTGTTATTCTTTGGAAACCGATGTGTTTTTCAAAACGACAATCGATTCTCCAATATGCACCCGAATTTCGCAGTTTCTGAAATTCAGCCTGCTTGTTGAAAATGCAGCCACGGGATTTTCTGAGAAAGTTGTTATTCTTTGGAAACCGATGTGTTTTTCAAAACGACAATCGATTCTCCAATATGCACCCGAATTTCGCCTTCATTGAAAAGACGAAGCATGACACGATTCCGTTATTAATTCTTGCTTGAGTTTAATCTTCTTTCGACTAGCAACATTATAGTATTGCCTGGAGCGATTAACTTCAAAATTGATTGTTTCCACTTACGATTTATGCTTGAAACTTTCGGTTACGCTACAACAGGTAATACGGGTTGAAAAAGAAAGGAAAACTCATTTTTCACCGAGCATACTTTTGACATGCATACAAACAATTGTATGCAACATGCTATTCAGAAGTTTGTTCAGTTTCCGTGTTTTCCCAATATACCACTTCGTCACTTTCATCGGGGAAATGAAGTGGAAATTTAATCTGTTTAATGAAACTTTCTATTTGAATGTACTGTACACTAAATTGAATTGTCAGGGAATTTAGAAGATGATGGTTGAGCGGATGAAGACGGATACACAGGTAATAAATTAAATTTGCTGATGAGCCAATATATACTTTATATGGATGCATATTTTCCTTCGAGAAAATTCTTGGGTGAAATCAGGCTTATGCACATGTTGGCGGATGATCGAAAGTATCTAAAATCCACTTAAACAATTTGAGGAATCACCATAAAGACGTTTCTTCCGGATCTTAAATATGCTTCAAATGGGGATTTCATGAGTACAGTCTAAATTAAGAGAGCATGAGGAAACGAATCCAAGATCTTTAAAAAGATTCAGATCAAATAAACTTTTTAACTGAAAATAACTGTAAAATTTGTTCGTGAAACGACTGAAAACCTCTATGCCACATTCTGTTGTGCCAGCACTTTTGAATTATCACCAGCATTTCTAACATTTACATTCATTATAGTGAAACGTATTGTAAAATGCACTTCATCAGCAAAAATTCGAAAAAAGCTCTATTGCGTTTCATATATGCAGGCGATGTGCAGGTAATTTTTCGATACAGAAGCCATTCGCAGTGTCGTCATCGGCGACCTTCATTCCGGCGAATAAGTCAGAAAGATTTTTAGGGAGTCTCAAACAGACTTCATCAACAGCAATTGCCGTACGCACACAGGAGTCTTGCACATTAACCACAACGCCTTGGGACTCGGCGAGGAATTGTCCCAATAAGTGGCGGATAGCGTCATTGCCAGTGATCTCGGCGCTGAAGACATCGACGACGACGACGGAGCTGATGACATTTTCTTGTTCGACGCGAAACGAGGATTGGCGGACGTGACGAGGAAATACGCCACTCATCCGTTTGTACTGTCTGGTGACAGTTGGGACAAACTGATCCACGACTATCCTGTCTGTATGGCTACTCAAACATCCATGAGTCAACAAAATACTGTATAGAGTATAACTATTTCCGTGGAATAATAATTCTCGGAAACACGTCGATTAAGACGAGAAATGGTCTATCACGCGCTCTTTGTCAAAGCCTCATCGTCTGTACCCGAAAATATAGAATGTACAGGACAGTGCTATGAATGTAATTATCAGGCAGTGAACAGTCGTCAGGTTTCGGCATCCAAATTTCGCTGTCATCGAATAGATGTAGCGTGACCTGATTCTGTTCGTAATTTTCACTTGGGCTGATCAATTTTCTTTCGACCAACACAGTGAGAAATCTGCAGATATGATGGTTTTTTATTATTTCCTTCGGAACATTTTGTTGGAAATAATATTCATCAGGATTATGATACAATGAATAAGCCACGCAGTATTTGTGATAATTTGCTATACTCTAACGTAAACCTCACTGTTTTACTGCGAAGATGACAAATTAAGCGCATATTTTCAACCGTAGGGTGATCGATTGTACTGGGTCGCAAACGTTTCGGAAAACATCCCAGACGTGGAGCTACACCTAGCAAAATCCGCGATAAAATTCCTGCGTCGTTGTTCGCCCGCCGTCTCAGATCGTGTTAGCTTTCATTTTGTGTCGGATGTTGCCCCATCCACCGGTGGACTTTTCGGCGGAAGAGGATGACGTCGACTTGGACTGCAACTCCGTCCACGAGTCGATAACGAAGTTTGTTGATGCTGGAAAGGTCAGAAGAAATGATGAAGTGGAGAGACTCGATGATCTACCCTCAGCAATTACTACGAAACGTAGCCTGACAAGGTTGCTTAACAGAGTACGTTACGCTCGTAGACGTTGTTATGATCCCGATACCGGGTTTGGCGGAAGATTTGCGTTCCTTTTTGAGGAAAAAGGAGACACAGAGCTGCGAAAAATGCGCTTATGTTCTGCCGGTGTATGAAATCGCCGAAACCACTGGGAAGCTTCCGGAAAACGAGGCTGACCTCGTGAAGATGATCGCTGCAAAAAGTGGTCGTCCATTTCACGAGGTTATTATTCGTTGAAGGTTTATAAAAATAAAACTCGGCTACAAATTAATCTCTGCCGAGGAGGATGCGTTGAAATCTTGAATCTACCCTACTACAGTAAAGTACAGTAGTTTTATTTGTTCATCTGGAAAATGTGGTTTTTAAGAATGCAAACATCGAAGTACCGTAACTTCTCTCTGCTGCCTTTTTTTCCCTCGGAATTTAATGAGTAAAGTTACTCAATGCGCTCGAATAATGCCCTGGATCGTAAAATAAGACTGAAATCTTGAGGCTTACCGCAGCCAATCCTGCTCGTTCATTCCTTAATATTCAAACTTCCTACCGATTTCAAAAACATTGAATGTAAAATGGAAAGTTTATCTTCGTATGCGTCTCGTGTGTTTAGATAGTTTTTTGTTGTCCCTCAGTTGCAACCCTTTTTCGATGCAAGGCTGTTTCGAAATAATGACGAATTCGAGAGATCGAGTCTGTTCTTGCTCTAAATGGACTGAGCCAGCCTTCTCTAAAATTAAAATCAGTCCAACATGACAACTTGGGCGTTTAGTCTTAAAGGTCGTTGAAGTTCTAGAATCGAGAAACCTATACTGTACTTTCTCATATTTTCCATCGTTTTTTTCATTATGAATTCACGCAAAGAATGCCTGCGTTTGAAGGATAATTATTTTCGCCCGAAGTCTGCTATAAACGCTTCTCATTGAATAATCAACTATAGGGACTCAATCTAAATTTCCAGAGCATCAGTCAAAAGAATTCTGGCTCTTCGAATCTGACTGCTTTGCAAGCAGTTCCCTCAAATACAAAAGTATAATTTGAGTACTCTACGATGTCCAGAAGTTCGAGCCGATCTGCGTTACAAAAGGGTCTATCCCATTTTCGACGAACGATCCTTCTTCTTGTGGGTCTTTTCTCTTTATTTTAACCCTCTGAGAAAATCTAGATACATCTGTACTTTTTCAGCGCACCTGCAGCAATGAGCAATTTTTTGGCTACTGAATTCATTTTTTTAAAGCCCTTTTAGTGTACAGCAAGTAAGAAAAGTTTCCAACAACCCGCATTTTTTGCTGACCCACTCTTGTACTCGTATATTATAAGCCAAACCCTGCATCTAATTGCTTGCAAAATTCCATGATTATTCTGATTTTTAAAAATTCAACAGTCGAATATTTTGCGCATTCCTAACACGATGAGCTGGGAACAAAAGTGGAAGCTTTTCTACTCTTCGTCAACCGAAATTGACTTCGAAATATCGATATTTCTAAGACGGAATATATTTTTTGCAATGAGCTTCATCGCTTCAACTGCGATTGACATGTTTTCACCAGCGCGTAGGAAACCCGTACTTTCAGCTGGAAATTTATGGCGAGTTGTTTTTTCTTCACGATGACAAAATAGTTTGACAAGATGGATATGTTATTGGCATAGCCATTCTCCCAACTTTGAAAACCAACCCAATTCAACGTCTATAGAAATCTCCTATATTTGAGAAAGAATGCGCCAGCACGAGAAAGCGCGTGCGCCTTCTCGTCGACTTGGGGTGCTGCTGAAAATCATGGTCCATGGGTTAGACCTTTTCTGAACTGCTGGGTTTCAGTCAGTCGTTGGCCTCAGCCGGGTACGGTGGGGCGGGTTGCAATCATACATGACGGGTTTCGCTCGTGGAAGAATTCTGCGATTTTCCGTAATTCATTTTTATATTTTATTTAAAAAAAAGAATGTTCAGGGCAGCTACAGGCCGAAAATTGAAGAGAAACATGTCGCTTGTGTACTTGTAGAAAAGTAAAAAATCCATTTCACTCCACAGTATCCTTACACTTTTAACCCGCACCAGAGGCTCACACAAGACAAACATATTGTGATGAAATACAACTCAGCAGTTGATGTACACATTTAATACATTTAGGAAAGTATTTCAACGCTTGGGTATGACAAATAAAGCTTAACCTTGAGAATCGTGAAATCTGGAAAGTATGAGCGAGCAAAATTCTCCTTCAAATCCGAAAATGGATCCTTCTCTCTTTTCTTTTTCTTGCCAGGTAAACCGTGAAAAGTGCCCCACACAGTAATGACGGCTCATAAATTTAAATGCAAATACATTGAATTCGTCAGATTATTTTCAACCTCTTTCCAGTGATGTCCGGGTCCCAGTAAGTGAAGGCGATTTTCCCAGTTAATTTCAATATTTTTACTTTTTTGATATACAGTGTTGTTTTAATTGTTTATTACCAGGAATTAATAACTGGTGTTAAAAAAATGTTCAGCTGGAAGTGAATTGAATATATTACAGAAACTTTTTGAAATCATGTCATCGAAGACAAATTTTAGGGCTTGCTTAATCTGGTCTTCCAGATCAATACGTTAATCGCTCAAAATGTGAATGCAACAAAATTAAATATACTTTAGTGGCCTTCTGCGGGCAATCTGGATTCGATTCGGTTTATCGCTGAGGAATTTTTAATTTCGATTTAGAATCAACAAAAATTACATATCGAATCGTTTCTTTCTCATAAACTCTTCGGCCGTTTTTTGATGATGCCTAATCGTTTTTGATAAAGTGGGGCTTTCTAAACAATACATTTGAACAGCCGAGAAGTTCATTATTGATAAAATATTTTTGTAAAAGAACACTTTTTGCAGTAATAGATGGTCTGCCAAGATCAAGAAAACCCCCGTTGAGTCGAAAATA